TATTGATGTAAAATGTACTCACACCTTTATTTCAACATTTTTATTGATTTCTCAGTGAAAAATGAATGGATCTTGTGGGTTTGGATGAAAACAAATCAGGCATGTTCAGGGGACTGATATTGTGCAATTTGTTGCAGATCTAATTATAAATCCAGATCTAGTGAATTTAAATATGTTTTCATGACTATTGGACGCTGGCTGAGATATTTACTATACTGTCATGCTTGTTGAGTATTTACATATTTAAAAAAGGTTAGTTGTGTATAAAGAGGCTGCTTTAATGTTGAGTTGTTGGTTAGTTGATTATTTGACTTGTTATTTCAGCTAAACTCTAGAGGTCATGTGACACCTAATTAATCACCAGCTGAAAAATGTGCTGAATCATCAGTGCTTTAAAACTGTGGTGCTGTTCAGTGAGGAGCTGTTGCAGAACATAGAGTGAGATGTCAGGTGCTGCAGGATAAGATTGAAGTGCACTTGAGCGTTTTAATCTCATTTTGGTTTTGGCGATGCTGTGAGCTCCATGTGTTTCATCCATCACTGACACCTCCAACTCTGTGGGGGTTTTAATGACACTGGAGTAGAGATGGGTGGCTTTTTTATGCTACTACGCATTTCTATATTATATATTTATATTAAACATTAGCATATTTGACAGAAATATTAGTTACCGGATCATTACGTCTCATGAGTAGATTCTGGATTAAATGCCCAAAAACATAATGAGCAGTTGATAGACCTGCTCCTGTGCGGCTGTGATGCAGATAAAAATGAAAGTATGGGTTTATACTCAACTGAGGCTGATGAGCTGTAACAAAATCGGGCAGGCTGCTGCAAAGCATCTCATAACCTTTTCTCCTTTTGTGTGTGTGTGTGTGTGTGTGTGTGTGTGCATGCTGGCAGACATTACAAAGTATACACAAGTGTGTTTATCTACAGGGTGGGGGTAGATGAGTCACATTCAGTCTTCTAAAACCAGCCTGCGTTAGCACTCCCCATCCCTCTTCATCTCCCCGAAAAAACATTTTTCTTCTGTCATCTTCCCCTATCATTCCCAACAAGATGACACTACTGCAGATATGAATTTTTGCCAAATCAAGAAATCTAATCTATGTCATTCACACCTATTTAAAAAAAACACCCACCCACATCTTCAATCAGGTCCTTTTCTATCCCACCTTCCTCCATGTTCCCCTCAACCAGACAAGCTTCCTTAATATTTCCTCTTTTCAGTGTCTCATTTTACCCGAGCCAGAGGGGAGACAGACCTGGCCACGGCTCTCTGGTGACTCAGTTACTGACACATTCAGCTGCTTCATTCACATTTCCAGGGCAGTGATCCATGTTGGGTGAAAAGTGTGTCATTTTGCATTTCCCTGGATTGCATGTGTGTCAAAGATGTGTGTCTATCTGTTAATAATCAAGTTAAAATTGATCTTTTCACTATTGTCCATGATATTGTCCATTTCCAGCCTCATAATTTCTATGAAATCTTAATTTGAATGTGAATAAATCTGTACATGATATGCCACAAGGGTTTTTGGCTATTGACTTACTTAAATCCTGTTGCCTGATCTTATTCTGCAGAGGTTCAACGACAGCCAAATAGAAAATTGGAGACACCAGCTGTTTTTTCCCTCAACAAACCAACTGTCAATACACCGGTACCGAATTCCAGATGATGGTACAAATGTGAATGGTACACAACCCTAGCCACTGTGACCTTTAGCCACTGAAATCGAATCTGATGATATTGAGTCCAAGTGAAAACTGGACCAAATTTGAAGAAATTCCAAATTTTGACCTTTGACCACCCAAATCTAATCAGTTAACGCGTGAGTCAAAGTGAGCATTTCTGCCCAATATGAAACGAATCTACTGAGTGCATTCATCAGGCAAAAAAAGGTTTGTGAGGTCACAGTGACCTTGACCTTCACATTCCAATCAGTTCATCCTCGAATCCAAGCGAATGTAACCAGATGTAATAGAATTCTCTAAAGGTGTTCTTTGTGGCCTTGGCCTTTCACCACCAATCAGTTTATCCTTGAGTCCAAGTGAACTTTTGTAACAAATGTGAAGACATTTCTTCAGGGCATTCTTGAGATATAGTATTCACAGGAATAACTCGGACAAATAACAACATGAAAACATTATGGTTCTGGCCACAGGCTACAGATGCATTAAAAACTCACTTTCACTCTAATGGAAATAGCAGACATTGAAGGTCCAGTGTGTAAGATTTAGGTGATAGGGAACTATCGGTAGAAATTTAAGGTAGAATAATCGTCATGATGTTTTCACTAGTTCGTTTCATCTAAATTGTTTGAATTGTAGTTGTCTTTACCCTAGAAAAGGCCCTTTATATTTAAATACTTTATATGTACATCGAGGGGGTCCTCTCTAGGAGGCCGCCATGTTTTTAGTTTAGTCCAGACTGGACAAACTAAACACCTTTAGAGTTTTTATGACTGAAGGCTGCCACAGGTTCTCTTTCATGTTTGGAAGGGGAGGGTGAGATGAGGGGTGTTCAGCTGCAAGATGCAATTTCAACACTCGATATCTCTAAATTCTACACACTGTACCTTTAAGAGATAGTCTGGAAATAACATAATAGCTGGCAAATTCCCTAAAATCTACAAGTAGCTCTGAAGAGAGGACAACAATTATCTTACATCTGTAATTCTGCTGGAAAACAGAAGACACTGTAGCTTAAATTAATTCTGTGGTTAAGGGTGAAAGACCTGACGGGGCTTTGCCAGACAGGAATAAAATAATAAGCAGTAATTTAAGTGACCCATCTTCCCTTCAAAAAATGTATCTTGAGCAACTGTGGCTTGAAGCAGGCCTTGTGTCTGTGTGTGATTCAGTGCAGTGCAGTATATTTTGAGCTCTGTGTGACAGGAAGTGGTCAGGGCTGTGTGTCCCTCTGCTCCACACTGCAGCGCTGTCTCTGTCTGTGCATGTCTACAGCCCTGAAGTCCCTAACGGTGTTTACACAATTGGACATCTGGAGTAATCAGAAAACCCATGGCAAACACTCCATATCCTGAGTGAAAAAACAGGACCAGGCTTAAACTGAGGGCAGAATGGAGGAGCGATAGAGAGTGAAGCAACAAGGAGAAAAAAAGAGGGCCAGGCATGCGAGAAGAAAGCACTGACAGACGTGAAGTAAGAGTTAGATGTTAGTGAGATCTTCTTACGTCTTCATCCAGGTTGGTCTGCTCCAGGTCTATCACTTTAAACTGGACCCTCTTCAAAATCTCCTCCAGAGACTCACAGGCTTTGTGGTCCAGCCTCTCACCTAAAAACACAAACACGTCTCGTCAATTAACATCAACATAATATAGTATCATACAAACAAGATGGTTACATTTATAACATCATCACAACAATGTTCATACATTTATAGCGTCAACAGTCGCTGTTTTGGTGCTTACCTTTGAGATCTAAGCATTCGTTTCGCTGTGTCAGGTCTTTCAATTCCTACAGAAACAAAAAGAAGCAGCGTCAGTAAAAGATTGTGACTGCATATTTCCTCATGGAAGAAAACTGTTCTTTTCACATGTTGAAACCTCCACACCACATAGGGGAGGGGGTGATATGAAAAATGAGTGCTGGAGACAAAATACAGATCCCATGTAAACTAAGATAAACCGTTGCTGCAAAGCAAAGTTTCTGAAGGACTCATTTTGCTCAAATCACTACTAGCTTCCCAACATATCACAGTACTTTTGAGCACTAGAGAGTTATTAGATAGAAGAGGGGCTCTGCTATTCCTAATGCCATTTCCCCCTGTGTGCGGGAGAGAGAGCGAGAAAGAGCAAGTAGAGTCAGGAGTGGCTGAATGGATCAATAAATGTGCAATTATGAAGACAGATTTGACCTATTTATGTGATCAGTGTTGATATTGTGGGCGTGGGCACAAACAAATCACTGAGAAGCGTAAAAATACATTCCATTAATTGTGAAACTAATCACATTTTTGTTGACACAGCAAATATAATGTGGCCGTGTGTGCCAGACCACCTCCGAATGTGGTCTGATAAATCAGATTTCGAGACAGATTGAGTTCATTCAGATCTGTAATTATCTCTGACCACTTGTGATCGGATCACTCAGGACACGTGTTAATACCAGGTATGAACTGTGTCACACTAACAGAGATTCAATTAGAAGTTTCAAAACAGAGAGATGAAAAGACTTGTAAAAAGCAGTTTGCAGACGGTGGATGATCCTGGGTTGGCTGCTACAAAAACACATGTTCATGGCTGGACACCATTAAAGCACAGTAAACCTGGCACATGGAAACTTGACTTGAATCTGCCTTGAATGTTCAAACGTCTGATCATGTGGGGCTTTTAGTGTGTGTTCAACCATGTGGCCTGATAACTGGTAAAAAAAAAAACACCCAGACAAACACCACAACATACCGCGTGCTACCATCAAAACTATGTACCAGCAAATCCCTCTCTAGTTGGCTGACCATACCATTCAGCATGAACTCCATGAACTCTGTCTTCCTGCCATCACTTCTGTGTGTGTGTGTGTGTGTGTGTGTGTGTGTTTGGCAGAACATTTGGCTGCTGGTTTAGTCGTACTGAGGGTTCATCACAACTCCTACACGACTCAACATAACCCAAACATAGGGCTGGGCAATATATTTACTTACAGTGGAAAACAAGGGTAAGGGTTATCATGTAAGGATTTTAAACAGACCAAAAAATTAGAATATCTGTTACAACTTTTGATTAAAATGTGTGTACAGTGTGTGTACAGTGTGTGTACAGTGTGTGTACAGTGTGAGTGTTGTGTACACATACTTAAAGTTCATATCAACTTTTTGAATACAGACATTTTAATGTTTCACATCTAGACGTTTTGGCTTTGACTTGATTCTTGTTCTATAAACAACTTCTGTAATGTGGTTAGCTGAATACTTTTCGTGGAAAGGGCATAAAACGAATGAAATCTCATCACACGTATTGATAAGTTCAGCAAACATTCACTGCTTTATTTTAGGCAAACATTTCTTTTAACTTCACAGTGAAACAAATCCATTTTTATTATCAGATCATTTAAATCAGAATTTAATCACACTTCATTACAGTTCTTCAAATGAAGACATTCCTTGCCTTGCTATAAATAAACAAGGCAGCCAATGTTGGCTTACACTCAGTCTTTCTATTCAAAGGAAAATCCCCTTTTTCATTTTTCATGACAAGTGCATTATATATTTGTACAGTGCAGAACCACAAAGTCATGTGATCCAATGACCTTCTGCAAATGTAATTTCCAATGAGTCTGTAATCAACGGTATCTGAGTTTTCCTATCAGAGAATAAAGCTGGAGAGAAAACCCTCTTGTTAACTCTCAATTAGGATTCTACAGCTCAGTCTCCACAGCTGGATGCATCAACATGGTCGATAAAATCATTGCCTGTCCTTTTGTCATTTTTGGATACATATGAACATTTGATCCAAAATGTGTTGGACAACCCAAAAAATAAAACAAACAGCAGGCAAGGTATAGTATTCCAATTTAAGAGAAGGCTGTAGTTAGATTACATAAAGGCTGCTACACACTGTTCAACTGAACAGAAACTTTTGTTAAAAATGTATGAATGGACCATAGTTTTACTTCACGGCATAATGCTTCATCGGTGAGCTTTTTGTTTGCTTTTCTTCTTGCTTTTTTTTTTTATTGGTCTTGATAAAGTAACCTGTACATCCATTATAATCTGAACAGAAATACCTGCCTTTTATGGGATTGCTTTCCATCTTAACTGAAGAGGGTGGTTTTTCAGTTTGAGAGGAGGACTTATTAGTTTCAGATTAAGATTTTGTTCACACTCAAATAGTCCTTACTTGTGCTTATATTGGCTCTGCTTGTGCTCAAAATGTGCGCTTGGACAGATTTTCAGAAGGGGACTACATATAATATAAAGCCATGAAGGGCGGTAGTGAATGCAAACTGAAAGACCGCACTCTTGAATAAAGATAGGGGGAAATCAGTTGTGCTTCTATAAATTTGGTGAAATGAAGGCTGCAAAACTCAGGAGAGACCTTTGAATCTTTTGTTGATCTAATTACATCTTAAGTCAAAAGATGTTGAACTGTCCAGACCAAAGGATGCAATTTACATGACCTCTGTATGACCTCCCTAAAACACAGCACAATATATCTGTTTTCATATCATAACTGCAGGAGCACAGCCCATGTTGATGTACATGTGGATTTTACAGAGGCTTTATTGTATACTCCCTCTAGAATATGACCCACCAGCAGCAGGAGAACATATTACTGCACATTCACAGAAAGCAAGTACACGCTATTTGCGTGCAAGACATTGCATAATAGGGGAAACCACTTTACCCCTGGGGATCTGCAGGGGCAGAAATGTGACACAAGGCTAACAAGTGTCCAGGTCTTAAGACTCTGGTGGGAGTCAGTGTGGAGCAGACATTCAACATGCAGCTGCTAAATAGCGACCCTCATAAACAGACACACACACAAACAACTGGCCAGAAATGTACAAAATCTGTAGGAACCCTGGCAGGCTGCCACATGCACAGTGCAAGCAGACTTGATAAAGAAAGCATTTAGGGTGAAAGAGGAAACACCAGTGTAGGGCCGAGCTCCTCTTGCTAACCCCTGTCTCACTGGCCTGGCTTGTTTATGAGACTGGGTACGGCAAGGATGACTAAGCAGAAATGAGCGGGGGGTGTAGTGGACCAAAAGACGGCAGTAGAAGGGAGGGATGGAGAGAGGCCAAATTTTAACAACAATGAGCAATAACAAAAAAAGAGCAGAAAATGAGGGAGGGAAAGAGTGAAGAAGATGGAGACCAGGAGTTAAAGCTCAGTCAACTCTCAGTGGAAATTCACCCAGAGCGTAGAACTAAATAAAACCCGCAGCAGCAGCTTAGCACAATGATGTGCATTTCCACAAGTAGCTGAGATGTTGACATGGACTTCTATCAGCTGACTAAGCGTGTGGGGATTTCTTTTGCGGAGTGTCTCGAATCACAAATGCGCTTCGAGCTGTGGCTCACTTTCCTGCAACATCATCACACGCACATGGAGACACACACCTGCAGGTACAAATGTGCACAGCTTCAGCAGAGAGGCCCGGTTAAGGTTTTATGAGCGTGTGCTGCGCTGACTGAGCGACAGAACAAACAAGAGAAAGCACTGATGTGTCTCTGCTGCAAAGCCAACACCACAACTCCTATATCCTGTCAGTATGACGAGGGGGGAACTGGTTCACACTGACATAGTAATGGCAGACACGTGTTTGCATACACACTATTCTTAAAATGTAACTTCAACCCTGTTTCTCCCTGCAAATTCAAAATGCCCAGAGAATGCAGTGCAGAGAGGTGGGGCTGTGACACACCTCTGATTAGAGGGTGTTGATCTTTTCAAATATATAAATAAATGTCATGACGTACAAAGGTCCTAAACGGTTGCCACAACATAAGCATTAGCCTTCTAAGGTCCAAGAAGCGTTGAAATACTAAGTGGGTTTATGAGCCATTTTCATCTTATAAATGTAGATTTTTTAAAATACATTTTTAGGTCAGAAATATCTAGTAACTGCTGGGATCCTTATTTAGCAAACCAGAAGAACAAACACTCACAGTCTTAGTTAAAACAATGTCTTATCATTTCCTTTGACACATTCACATGAAACATGTTGCTTTAATCTGCATTGTGAAAATATTATATGGCCTTTTGTCACCGATCGTTACACGGTCATTTGTTCTGGAGAAAAGACAACTCTCAGCCCACAGGGAAACAAGAGACCAGAAATCTTCTCACATCATTCATCAAGAACTCTGCAAACAGGCCTCTTTATATCTGACACACATAAAGCGCAGTTCTCTAGTTTTAAGATTTTAATCGGACAGGTATTGTAAGCCATACAGGTATTATGCCTTGAAGATAATTTTTTTTCTATGCCTGGTCTTCCATATTTGACCCTCCTTCTGTTCTCCACGACGTAAACATCTAGCATGCAATAAAAACAATACCAACACAAGGAAGAATTTGAACACGATAACAGTCACAATAAACATCAAGCAAGTGCAAAAATTCACATACAAAAGGCATGGGTTTGGCATAAATATAAAAACTGCTGAATATGAAGAACTGTTTGTGCAGAGGGATTAAGGGACACATACAGTAACTGTGCTGGTTAACCCACAGGAGGAGGCAGGAGAAAAAAAACCCCGTAGGCCTGATGAGAGTCAAACCACCCCTGCTGAATTTTTTTTTTATCCTGACTTACGTTGTGTCCTAAAACCACATTAAAAGGCTTATGAAGTGGTTTCATCACCGGAGGAAAAGGTTTCGGATGCAATTCTTAGCAGTTCAATCTCACAACAGGAACCTTGACAATGTGAAGTTGGTAATTAATACTTGGTGTGGCGCTACCACGAACTCCTAACTGTGAACAGGCTGCTACATAATGTGGCCCAGGGCTGCCACGAGTTCCTATGGTTTTGTATATTTATGTATAACCTTGTGATTTATACACATAAAGTTATTTGTATCCCAGTGGTTTTGAACTTGCACAGTATGTACATTTCTGTGTCCTCAAAACAATTTCTGCTCACACATCACACTCATATTTTTAAATTATCATTAATGCTCATTCTTCCTCAACCCATAGAATGGAGAATCATAAATCAATTTTTGTTGCATACATCTTCATTTTAGATTAATTTTTAATTCATATTATGATGTAATAAGGCCAAATAAATATGATATGTCTTGCACAGAGGGCTTGCAATAGATTCAGGGGAGGTTCAATAAATGGAATTAAGGAAATACTGCATTAGTTATCCAAAGGAGATCACAGAGAATAGCCTAAATGTGTATGATTAGCTCAAAGAGAAGTCAGTTGTTTCTGACTTTTCTTGTGTCAGAAATCTCTTAGATATTTTTTAATATATTTGGTATCGTCTGAAGTTATGTCAAACAGCATTATTAAGCTCTCTTTGATCATTGTTGAGTGTCTATAAGATCATGTGATATATCCTGATTGCATAGACATCCATAAGCTCTTTATAAAAAACACAACTTTATTAAAGGTTCCAACACTCAATTACATTTTGATTGTTTAGGTGGAAATCTGGTCGGATAATATTTCCTTGTGACTGCACCTGTGGTTTGGTGGTGGATCTGAGGAATGAAAATGTATCTTTTGCCATTAAACAGCAGCCATGGGTAGTTTCATGACAGCAGTGTCAGGAGTCACAAAAGAGGTAAAAAGCAGGATATCATCAGGCTGGAGTTGTGATGGCTTTCCTCTGGCTTTCCCAGAGGGTTAGGAGGGGGTTAAGATATATATTAAGATAAGATAAAAATGCTAAGTTAATATTGGGCTTGCTGTGTTAAGATGGGCCTTACCTGTATCTGTTTGAGCACTTTGGGTATAGGTTTACAGTTGAGTTTCTGACAGGCCTGTTTGTAGGAAGAGAGGATCTCCTCCACCGTCACATTCTGAGCTGGAAAAACAGAAGATTAAGGGGATTAGGATTTCTTTTCTGCATCATTTCTTTGAGCACACGTTTCCCTCGAGGGGGTAAACAAACACAAACTAGACAGAATAAGAAAATGACACAAAAAGTTTTACTCCATCACATTTTTTATGAGTCATTTAACATATTGCCATATTTGTTGATATTTCATTTTTAGATCTAGATAATACACCTGTGATAACACAAGGATTTTGATTGGATTTCGAGAGGTTCTCTACCTTTCCAACAACTCTGATGTTCAAAAGTAGCACTGGAATACGAGCCTGAAATACATGCAACATGCTTGAAATATAAAGAGGCTGTGGTCACATGGCTTGCTGGTGTACACTGTATAGCATTATTTGCCTATTTATTTTTTGATTGGTTCTGCAGTTCACTTGCAGGTCACTTGAAGCTGGGGTGACACTAGTGCAACAACGTGAAGCTGTGGTTCTGATAGATGAAATGAACATAGGTTTACTGAGTGTAAACTTTGAAACAGCTTTTGATGCTCTGATGCTGATCCTGCAGTTTGTCTCACTAAATTATCAGCATGGTTAAGATGTGGACTGAGACACACTTGTAAAATGGTCTCTTTTAAGAGACCTGTTTGTGTGTCTGCCTTGGGGGGCACTCTCCTGATAGAGAGGATGAGAAATTGTAACCCCTCTAAGGGCTCCCCTACTTAAGTGAGGAAAATGGAGGCATTGTTCTTGATGTGTGTGTGTGCGTGCGCGCGCGCGTGTCTAGGTCAGCCACCGCTGCCATTCCAGGCTGTTGCGGGGCTAACTCCTGTCAGGTGACTAGGAAACATTCAAACCAATGATTCTGGCTGAAATACTCTGCTGTGAGATGAAGGGAAGCACTCATGAAGAAATAGACAAAGAAAAATACATGTAACATCAGAAACATGAAGAAAAAAAGCACATGTATGAAGGGATTCAGAAGGATCAGGACCTAAAATTACATGAATGAAAACAAGACTTATTTAGAGCGTAAATAAATAGATGGATAAACACTTGAGAGTTGCAGATTATTCTGCTGCAGACAGAGCCAAACCTGCAGTGCTAACAGTGCTGTACTAACACATGGGGCTGCTGTGTATGTGTGAATCTGACTTTGTGCAGCAGTGAGAAGGTGGGAAAATTCATCTCATTGTGTAATTTGAAGCACGACCGTTCACGCTACCTTTTTTTTTCTCTTAAAACTGAAATCCAAAATAACCTGATAATTATCTTTAGAATTGAAATCATCTTTTTCAGCTCTGACAGTTTAACCCCTAACAATGTCCTTACAATGCAAGTTAAACCGATCTTTTTTAACAGTTGCTCCTCCTTTTCAAGGTGTATGGTGTTTGCAGACAAACAAAGCGATAAAGCAACTCATCAGTACCACTAGTCTCAGAGATCCTCTATATTGCTTATAAGAAGACCCCCCCTAGTTTGCAAACTTTATGCCGACACTGCCCAACAAAGCTGGCGTAGTACAGTGGCTCCACCCCACTCTACCTGTCTTATAAATTAACATGACAGCACTCCACAATCAACAGCATCCTCCCTTTTATACACATGATCAAATAGGCTCTGCGACTTGTCACTAACAGGCTCGTAAAGAACAAGAAAAAAAAAAAGGGTGGACATTGTAGCAGAAAGAAAATTATGCAATGGCTGACCAAAAGCAAAAGGTGCTGACTGGCAGAGAGCTACACTAGACACTGTTTCTATTTCCTGTGGAGTACTGGGCACAGACCTACCGGCCCCACCAACAGATTTGTATAGACATAAAAAGAATTTGATTAATTTTGTGTATCAGTAACTAGTAACATATTTAGTCTGACGTTGCAGCTATGAAGTGAAAGTGTCTACTCCATGCAGCAGCAGAGACAGTGGTGCAGAGTGCAACACTTAACAATGAAGCAACAGCTCAAAACTCCTACAGACATTTTATCTTATTATGAGGAGTGGACCATCACAGTCAGGGTAGTTTATAGGAAACACTGCACACAACCTCAAGTGCAGCAGGAGACTGAGGCCACACACAGAGAGAGCTCACTCTGTGCTGTACGGACACTGAGCCAACATACATCTTTTCTTGTTAAATGTCCAGTGTCATTTGTAACAACGCTGTCATCGCAACTATCTTATCCACAGGGACAATTTCCACACCATGGTAAATATTTTGTACTGAATAGATTCTGAGATGCCTCATCTCATGTAGTCACTTGATAACCTACTAACAATGCTAGGTATAGGTAGTTGCTGGACTGGCATGTATCTTGCTGGATGAATCTGCATGTATATATGTTTGAACAAGCACGGGGCAGAATGAATAACTTGCTCTTGGGACAAAGAGGCGGTTTGAAACCTGCATGAGAAGCCATACAAATCTGACCAACTGTGCTAGTCACCATTTCAATGGAAATCACCCAAGTTAAAATAGGATGGAAAATTACTAGTGACTAATACTGTGGTGAGCCTGAAGTTATGGTCTATTTGTGTGTGTGTGCGTGTAACTACACAGTGAGCCAGTGCCACATGAATAAAGTGATAAAGGCCACAACACATCCTCATCACTTATTTTCAGACCAAAACAGCCACCAGAATGGATGTCAGTCTGCTTTGATCCTGCAGCTGGTCCCTGGTACATAGGGAATATAGATGCACGCACGCAAACTTGATTTGATGAGGATATGCTGACTGTCAACATCCATCCATCCACTCTAGACTAAACTCTGAATGCACAAGGCTGTAATATGCCTAAGTACTCTCTGCATGAAATTAATAAAGCTTTATATTCACATAACGTTGTTTCCTAAATCCAAGTCACTGAGCACAACTTAATATAAAAGGCAATGCAAAAACCACATACAGTTTTCCATAAATGGTCACACACTCCTTTCATCGACTGTTAACATATAAATACCTCTGACTGCTCCACCGCTCTTTGGGAATTTTAAAGAAACTAATGAAAAAACAAGAAGCCTAATTTCATCCATTGTGAGATTGAAAAGCTTGTTGGCCATGGTAGAGATCATTATCCTATATTTAAACATTTTCAAATAATTTTGTATTTCTGCCAGTGTTGGAGGCCTGTTTCCTTGTGTGATGAAGAGCTAATTGCGGCTAACTCCGTGAAATGCTCCTCCCTTAACCAGTTCTACCCACTTCACCGTAGAGGGGCCCCAATATGAGTCACCGGTGCAGCAACACGGATGCGAGCCCTGGTATTTAACGCTGCACCCATGACCGATTTTGACCAAGCCCGTGGTTTTGCTCAAAAACCCTCCTCGGCTTTTGCAGTGGTGGATTAAAGCTTCACTCCAGTCCAGACCATGTGTCTTAACAAACAACAAACTTCAGTCTAATACTGGCAAACATCTTATCTAATACTGGCAAACATCTTATCTTATCCATGACATTGCATCGTATTTGTATTCTGCCTAGTACAGCCAGTTTCTACCTGGTATCTGTTTGCACATCAGTTCACTTGGACATTACACACAAAACACAGCCTTTGCACTTGAGAGTTGATGGGGTTAAGTCGATTTGATGTCTGGTTCAATTGATTCGGACATACAGGTATGCATTCACACACAGTTCCTCCAGGTAATGGCTAGAAAAGATCAGGTTTGCGGTGCATGTTTGAAAGCAGCGGTGGGATAATTATAATGGACATTTTTCAATATTCGTTGATGTTTTATACACCACATTAATCTATTAATCAATGAGGAATATTATTTTTAGTCGCAGCCCTAGAAGAAACACAAACAGACATTTTTAGGTGTGGAAGTACAGGCCCAGCAACACAATATGAACTGCACTCAGTAGAGTGCACATCTCTCCCAAGTCACAACAATCCCTTTTAATTCAATCAAGCTGCACCAAATTGCACACACTCGTAGATATCAGTCCCCTAAATGTGCCTGTGTTCTTCATCGAGAGTAGTTTTCATAATCCAATCTTGTTTTTAGTTTTATCCATGCTATGTGCTTTTTCTGTGCTCCTGCTTTTCTTGGCCAGGTCTCCCTTGAGAGATTCTGAATCCAGGTGAAATAGCAGTTATAAAAATACATTTTAGTTCTAAAACCCATCACTTCTGCTCTGTTCATGCTACCTGTGACACCTTTCGAGCGCCTAAAACAGAACATTTTCAATGAGGTTTTAAAAACAAAAACACATTAATACTATGGCTGTAGGAAGAGACACAGTAACATACTAACATACTAGAGTAGGTATACTTCTATTGTCAAAATTGTAATGGGTGTCGCCCTTTAATAAAAAAGCTTGTTTTTTTATTTGACTCGAATGTAAGACTATATACAGTATGTTGGTGTGTTATATACAAAAACTATCTGAACACAGCTCTGTGGATTTAACCTAAATGCCTCTGCTTCCTGGTACAAGAGTGCAGTCTAGTAAAACTGTACTAAACAGCAAGTGTGTTCCAGTGAACACTGTGTCCTTGGAAAAGTGTTATTGTACAGAGTGCTGTGCAGCAAGTGAGTGTGTGTGTGTGTGTGTGTG